GGCAGGCTAGAAAAAAGAAAAAGCAAAGGAAGTTTCAAGGCGTTTTCTTGAATTGAAGTTGCAGTGACGTGTGTATAGGCGAAGAGAAATGCGTATTTGAAATACGACGCATGAGTAATGTGTTATATTACTCTGACGTCAGACGGTCTAGAGAAAGATTAAATGCGCGTGGAATCATACTCTTGATGTCTTCCATGGATAATTCAAACATATCAACGCGGTTATACCGTAATTTATCCACCGCCTTTGAAAACCCAACAATTCACACCAAAGAACACCCTGCATGGATGCGTATACGCCTTGTTGTAATCAAAATGTTTTAAGTCAGCTAGGTATTTTCGAAATTAGCGGTTGTTCTCGATTTAACTGAATATTTAGTATATATGATTAACAACGATGCCGACGTAGAAATACTCTTGAGTAGACCCAAAATGTTCTTTTTTGTGTTGTTTTGAAACAATTTTGAAACATTACTTCTTGAATAAGAAGTACATAATTTGTGTAACCTTTCTAAAAACCGTTGAAATGTTGTCGCTGTGCGACGAAAGACCAGAAAAAATCGATTGAATTCAAACATAATTTTGCCTTTTAAAAAAAGGGAGTGCAGAAGATATCTTTATGTTTTGACAATAACAGGATTAATTTTGATTTTAAAGATAAATACATTTTGGTCTCTTTGTCAATAGTTCTTATTCAATGGATCCGAAAACAAAGTTCGCTTTTTCTCGTAGTATGATCATTGGCAACTGATATGTCTGAATTAGCGGCTAACAAAATTTCTCTCGGGCATGTATAAAATAATAAAATACTTCATATATTTTACTAAAATACGTTTGTGCGTTTATAAACGGATGTTTAGTTTCCTGAAAAAAATTAAGTTACTGACAGTGAGGGATGAATAATCCAAAATGGTAAAAAAAAATAATAATAATAAGAAACCATTATTCAGTATTCACGCAGAGTGATTCTTTCTATTTTCTTACCATTATGATAAGAGGTTTTGTTTGTAATAAAAGGCGAACGTAATTAGGGGCATTATCACGTTTGTCCTTATCGAGAGTCCGATTTTATTGCTTAACTAGCACAGAAATGTCGCTTCAGTGTGATACGCCGCCCAATCAGATTCAAAGACAGGTAAACAAGGAAAATGTTTGTGGCTAATTACGTTTTTCTTTTACAGACTATCATTAATACAGTTGAATAAATCATACGTTCAATATGTTTGACACTGCTTTTCTTAATTACTTTCTCTAGTTTGAGCCCATCAGAGCAAGATTGATGTTCAAGAGCGTTTTCAATACTTGGACGCATAATTGGTTTGCAAGATGTACGGCACTGTTAATACTCTGAAAAGGGTATTACATTGCACTGGGCTGTCAAGGTGTTATTGCTCTCCTGTCAGGTAAATTATTACTGATTTTCTCACAAAACTCTTCGCGTTCGTATGAAGGTTATTTAAGTAAACTTTCGTTTTGGTTTAATAGTTTTTATTATGAGTTTATGTTCAAATGTCATCTTGCCCTGCTGTTGCGTAATTTCCAAAATGGCGGCGTCGAGAGAAACTCGGGAGAGTATATTGACACTTTTTTTTACCTCTGTATGCCGTAGAATGGCTGCGAAAGATGCTACTCTTATCTTTACTTCAATGTTAATTTGTATTATTTAGCAATCATTCCACAGAATATCTACTTCACAACGATAACAGTTGCTTTGTGCTCAATTTTGTTGTTGCAAGGGCCGCTTGTTACTCCGCTTTCTGAGCATGTAGGGAGTACATTAGCTATGTTTGGAGAATCCACAGTTAAACCAAGATCATAGGAAAGCCGATACTATCTTTAGTTCTGCATCTGTAAATTCCTGACTATTTTGTACAAAAGTCTATTTTTCACTAGCTATCCGGCCTATATGAGAAACATGTTCTCGTTCCGTTCTACTTCATACAACATGCGTGGAAACTATATACTGGAAATGCCCAAACCTAAAACTACAACTTTTGGTCTCCACTCCTTTACTTATCTGGCAACAAAAGAATGGAATTCTCTACCCAATTTTATAAGGTTATGTAACTTCTCAGACTTYAAAAAGCACATCAGTAAAGCCAATTCATGAAACATGTAAATGACAATTTTATAATTAGTTAATATAAGTCAATTGTAAATATGTAAATAGCAATTTCTATTTTAATTTTTCGTTATCAATTATTTTGTTCTCGGAAATATTAGCTTGTCAAGCTACTCTGAAATTCGAGCTTAAATGAAGTTTATGTATTTATGTATGTATGTTTGTTTGTATGTAGGAAAGTTGTCAACCAGGTCATGAAGTCATTAGGACGTGATTTTAGCTAACGACGCCCGGCGAAGATGGAACTGGATATGGAAATTAACACACTTATTTAAAACGTTTTGCATGAGGTTGGCCAGATTGTCAAATTCCTTGTTTAAAGAAGATATATTGAAGCTCGCTGTAGAATGCAGATTATGAGGATTTTGAGAAAACAGCAGCAACACAATGAGAGATTTGGAAACTGAGATAAGGAACTTTCGTTTTTTCCTCGATAGTCGACAACCTAGGTTTGAACAGGCTAACGAAAGTATTTTCACAGCAACAGTTGCTTTTAATAAGTATGTCTAAAAATATAAGTTACTGTCTTAAATCATATTGCACGAGATTCAGTTGTTTTCACGAAAACTGAACTTTCTTTATCTAGTACAAATGTAACTACAATTCCATATTTAGTTGCAATTACTACAAAATCATTTTTCAACTTTATTGCAGTTTGCCCATGGATGGCACTATTAAACTGAAGTGTTCTAGTTTTAACTATAAACTGCAACGTAGAGCGCGTGATTTGAACTGATTGATTGCCCGCGAGTGTACCCGCCTGCCATTTATAGCATATTTTGAAAAATCCTAGACGACTGACAAAGTTGGGCATACGAGAGTTTCTGGGCCTGGTTGCCTTTCTGTTTTTCAGAGGGCGGAAACTTCTAGGATTAATTTAGGATAAATCAAGGATTTATCTAGGATTTAATCACTATAAAGCGCTTAGGAAAGCAATGCATAAGCTATTAAATTTTATTTGTAAATTCATTTATCGAGTAAGACATTGCTTTCAACGTATATATTGAGAGATATTACACTGATCATAGAAACGCTGGCATTAGTACTTTCTTGGTAAAGTGATCATGCTAGCCTCGTACGTTAACCGATAAAGTTTGGCTTCCTTTGAATGGAAAGAAACCTCGAATGTACAAGAAGGGGAGTGAGACCAAACACAAATTGAAAAACAAACCCGAAGATATAAACTCAGATTTTCAGGATGTCACGTGATAACTGTAGCGGAAACTCTCATTATTCTTCATTTAACGCAAATGAAACGAAATTAATTTGTTCTTCGTAACCACAAGATATATTCTGCTCACGAATTTCACCAAAGAGTGAGGACTATTCTGAGATTTACAATTTCCCTTTGTTTCAGGGCATTTATTTGCCGTTGTTGTAGCTTGCGTTAAATCCCTGATATTTATTCTTTTTTTTCTTTCAACTGGATAAATGGGTCCCCCTTCTAGCACAATCATCGACAGAACGTACCTTGATATAAATAGCCGAAAATTAACTACCCAAAATTATGATTTTGTACTCGGCAATTGACAGACCAAAACTGAGATAGAAATGACACATAGCAATATGAGACATACTTAACGACATACAACTGATGTCTTTTCATTTGATTCGAATTCATTTGAAAGTTTGGAGAAAATTGAGAAAATCTGAAGAGATTACTTTATGTGATTAAATTATAGTTCATCAAAGCTTTTTCCCATAAATCATTGACACATTTCATGCACTTTTAAGAAAGGCTAGCGACATTGTCCATTTATGTTTACAAAAGGAAGTTCTTAACGTCTTCATATGTTCTTAGTTCAATCCATTGTTTTGACTCAAGTGACATGTTTTTTTCAAACAGTACAACATCGGTAGAGTGTTTGGAGATTTATAAATAAACACTGAAAATGACTTGCATTTAAATTGCACTTTGTTTTGCTTTAATTGCTTTGAGAGCAGCTGGGAAGAACGATTCTTTGCTGTTTATAAACATGGCAGCAAATGATCTAGCGTATACATGCTAAAGAATCGTAACATCTTCGAAAATTTCAAGTACACTCGAAAATGCGTGTAAAAAATACTTACGACAATGTAACACAAATTCTTTTGTAAGCTCTCGTTCATATGTCAGTTGTGTAGATGTGTGTGTCCCTAGCTTAGAAAATAGGCAACTTTAAAGGTTTTTAAATTCATTGTTTACAAAACTTAGTTAAGCCCTACTCCATTAGTTTTATCTAAATTTGCATAGAGAAAAAAAGGAACTTCTATAACATATATTAGTCCTTATACATTGCAGTTATTTTATTCGGTTGTGTCACAACTGCATGTACAAGAAGCAGGACTACTTTTTACCTGCTCTTCTAACAGGCGAGATCGAGAAAAAGCCAACATGAACGTTATAAATATGTTTTTACAACGGGTAAAATCTGGTATTCTTCAGTTCGTCGAATTATCATTTGAGGTTACTCAAAATAAAACTTCACAGAACATGTATGAAAATCGGGCGGTTCTATATTCTAAAGCGCGGTCTCCTCAAGGTTATTTGCGAGAAGGCTCTTTTCAACTGAACAAAGTAAAAAAGCAACTTTCTTGAATCGATAAACTATGCGACACATAATAGAATAAAATCATTCAGTGCAAATAATCGTTTGTTCACCTTTCTTAGTAATTCCTTGTACCTTCCTGGTGTCAATCAATATGCCAGATATCACATCCCATCCCTTGAAAGAGGATAACAAGAAAAATCCGTGTGTGCTTGCCAGGGTAACAGAGCGAATCCAGTAACAGTGAATCAAGAGTGTTCCGGTTTCGCTTTAAATGCTACTGCGCATGTCAGTAGAGACGTTGTGGGAGTTTTGCTTACACCCTTCTCCTACGCATTATTTCGAAATTTTCATGCAAATTTTAATCCAGAAATGACGTCCCGAATAAAACCTTTTACTCCAGCCAAAGGCTATTTTTGACCTGCAAACAACCGTTTCCTCTTCACAAGCAGTTCCTCTGCTTAATTGCTGGTTTCTGTGTTCCAAGTTTTGATTGGCCGCGCCAGAGGACCTTTGAAGTGTTTGTAAATAACGCGCGTGAATGTCATTTGTCTGGCGTCAGCTTTAACGCGAATTTATTTGAACCACTAAAGCTAAAAGTCTAACACGCACAGAAAACAATAGTTAGATGTTGATGGATTTAGCAATGCTGTTTTTATCAGTGCAAACAAATCGTATTGCAACTTTAACACAAGCCAGCAGTTTCATTACGTCTTTAATTTAAGTTCATACATTTTAATCCACCTGATTTTGCAATTACACGAAGAAGTGAGAATGATTTCAAATTGTCAGAGCTATTTCCCTCGGGCAATAAGATGAATTAGAAGGAACTTGAAAAATCAACGGTTGAATAAATAATGTTCAGGTGTTAGTACAGTTATCTGGAAATACGTTAAGTAAGCAGACACGATTGAATCCGCTTAATAGAAGATAACCTCCGAACAAGGCCACTTAGTATATGAGAGAACATAACGACACGGTTTCAACAAGCTGCCCCTTAAATTCTTGAAGGTCTAAGACTTGTTACCATGACAACTGTTGGTAATTGACCGTCGCCCCGAACTGGTCTGGCGACCGAACATTTTTGCAGGTGCCTGAAAAACAGCCAAAATGATAACAAGCAAATGGGTGTCCGTGTAAAATGCATACGTCGTTGATTGTCAACCTAACGTCACATGATGACCTTGACAATCATAAGACAGGTGATGCGAAATGGTAAGATGGAAATGGTGATGCGAAAGGACGAGCCCACCGATGAAAAACATACATTTGCCACCAAATTTTTCCATAGCGAATTTGAAAAGCGGATGCTCTCAGCGCTACATGCTAGCTTTCCCAGAGGGCATAAAGTCAGTGTTTTTCTTGAATTATCTCCAATTAACTATTGGTGAATTAACGTCAGCTTTTCAAATTCGCTAGGTGGTTAATTTACCTTCAGCAACTTTACAATGAATGCCTCTCAAATTTCTACCATCTCACTGAATAAAACCGTTTTCAAAATCGACTGTCATCGAGTCTTTCGTGAGCCCAGGCTCAAGCTTCCCTTTACAAAGTGTCTGAGCCGCAGAGAGTGGAACGGTTTATCTGTCTTTGCGTTTCCTCGGGACCGTTTTAAATGTTTGAAAGAATGTGTTTTTCTTGTGATTCAATTGTACCTTTGGTATAACTTGGCATTTTTCTTTGTTTCATATGTCATGATTATAATATAAATACCATACACTTTGAGCTGGAGGGCGAATCAACGACAAGTGATAATGTATAGCGATACTTCCTGGGGCGGATACAGGATTTTTGAGAAGCGGGGTTCCAGATACGGACTGCCGAAGGCGGTTCCTTTGCAGGTGTCGGGGGCATCTACGCCGGAAAATTCTTAAAATATATCGAGGTCCTCGAAAATGGGGCGTTCTGAGTCAGCGTTTCATAATGTCTCATTTGTTTTAATTTAGGGGTTCGTCCGAGTCCCCCCTCCCGAACCCCCCTTGATCCGCCCCAGATTTCAGTTTACACTAAAGGGTCCTAGTAAGGGATCTATTTGTGCAGCGTTTTTTGTTTCCCAATGTCTTCAGAATTCCAGATTTTATACTGACTAGGAAAAACCGGTTTCCTACAGCACACGTGCTTTACTTGTTTCTGTTTTATTTCCGGTAGGTGGTTAGATTATTGGCTCGTCACTCACTGCACCATTTGTAACAGTTTGTTATGACGGTCTTTGGATATTCGATCGTAGTTAGCATATATTTTTAAGATCTTATTTCTCCGTTTTCTATTTAGTTTTATAGTAAAATTTCGATTGAGAAGATAATAATAAACACGAAAGACCATGTTTCACCACATTTCCAAACACGTCGAAGTTCATGGGCAATACCCCGCTACGCGTCGTATTTTCAACTCTCTTCTCGTTGTTTGGAAATGTAGTCAAACACAGTCTTTTGTGTTTGATTACCATATCTTTTTTCTTCTGTTGTAGTTACAGGTATATTCATAAACGCATGCCGTAAAAGTCGTAAAGTAAAGCGCTAGTGACTTTTTATAAATATCGAGTAAAACTGTTATTTTAGTCATATTTATACTCACGATAACATACATTGTACATGCATAGTCAACACTTCGGAACAGATAAAGCAATATCATGGTAACCTGGACAATAGGTTGAATAACTTCATTAGGTGATAAAAATCAAGTTTTGCTCAGAATTCACAATTCGGGCCGGAGCACTACAAAAAAAGTAATATTTATCTCTAAAATACCTGGTATGAAGTATAAAGTTTTTATTTCACTGTATGAATTTTTAAAAACGCATTCGAATGATGATTAATTAGTTCAGTATGATCACGATGATGATGTAATAATTGAGCTAAGCCACTGATTGGCTCAAAGACTTGCCTTTTGTCTTGCTATTGACGTAGGTTGATTTTCTTTTAGCTTTCAAAGGCTGTCACTCTGTTTCCTCTACATTGTATCAGTCGTTTTCTTTGAGCGAATTGCTTAATGAATTGGCCTGACCTATGGAGGTTTTTAGCTAAGAAAAGAAATTGACAGATGAAATGAGCGCTTGAATTTTAATTTCATCCTTCTTTCGGACGATCCCGAGGAAGTAATTCTGCGTGGTTCTCTCAAAACTGTCCAAGATACTTCTTTATCGCGAAAATCACTTTCAGCACTTGTAGTTTTGAATAAGGTTCGGAATAAAAAAGTGTTTACTTTGTATTATTAATTTTCTTTTGCTATGGTAGTGTCAAAATCGGACAACGCAAAAGTACATACATACTGTTTCTGTTAATGAGGTCTTCGAGAAATTTCTAGAGACCTTGTTACTTCCGAATAGTACGTATTAACTGGAAACATTAGTGACAGCTACTGCTTAGCCCGTGAATCAAACTGGAAGTTGAACTAAGCGTTCAATTACTGTGAATTACAGCCTATTATTTCGGCTGGATATCTACTGCGAGACCGCGCTGAAATGATAATATACTGGCGAAATTCAGACACGAATGAACGACCTCTGTAATAATTGTTTACTTTCCATTCGTTACATTTTCATTTACAATTGTTTCCAGGGAAGGAATTATATTACCGACAATATTGCCTCTGTATTTTGATGGACAATTCGTACAATGTGTGTGGCACGTAAAGTGAAAATAAAATAAATCGACTGGCGAATGGCATATTTTACTTATAGGTCTTGATATCGGGGTTTTCTTTGTAACCGTCCATATTAACTAAAGAAAGACGTTAATATAAGAATAGTAACAGATAAGTCGTGTTTTGTTTTTTAAAAGCTTTATAGCTTTGAAATGCCGTAAAGATGTTAATTTTGAATATGCTGAAAAGAAAAGAAGAGATTCCGGTATTCTTATCTTAGCCTCAACTGTTTGTTATATTCAAATTTGCTGATTTTATACACAAATTGAATTTAACGTTTTTATTATAGTTGTCGTATTACGAAAATGTACCTGCAGAAAGTTGCCTGCCATATAAAATTAAAATATCCCTTACTTTGTATCCAAAGCGAAATTAACATTTCATGGAGCCTTTTTGTTAAGTAAATAATGTGACTTATTTCAAATCATCGCAGATGAGTCGGCGAACGATAACGCATTCTCAAACTACTGTAAAAACGAATAATAAACGTTTGTTCGACGGTTTACATCGCTCTGAAGCAAAGAGAGTTTACGTGCCATAATTAACAACCGAGTTTTACCCAGCGATTCATTTATCAGTTTTTTTTATCAATAATGTAAGTACCTTGACGTTAGGACGTAATCAGCTTTTAAAAGCTAAAAATATAGAGTAGAACATTCGTGGAAGTATCAAAACCTAAGTACTCCTCAGCGGTGAAATTTGTTGCTAAGACAAAACAAAATTTGCAAAATAAAATTTACGAGACTTTTTTGGTTTAGGTTAATTGTAATAACAGTGAGTTCTTTTAATGCAGAACAGGATGCGACAAAGTGAACAAAAACATTGACAAACAAAATTCAGTTTTCTGGTGTTTATAATCCAAGGTATCGAAAATGTTTTTAAACCGCACGTGCAATATCAACTACGTGTAACATCTTACTGTTGGTCGATTTACTTACGGTAGCCCCTTTGTCGGTACGCCGAAAGAAGTGTAGGTGATAATGTTCACTGAAATACTGCAGCCGATCTCTTTGACGCAAAAAAGATAACTCTAAGCGGAAAACATAGAAAAGTTCTTTGTGGATTCTCAAAAAAACCTCGTATTTCACAAGCTCTTACTTCGCGCCAAGAGTGCGGCAGATCTTTCTTCTTCCTTAACTTGGTACATGCAAAATTAATTAACAGGTCGCTTTTCTTGAGGTCAAGCGTTAAGCAGTGAATAATATTTTGCAACTTGTGTTCGTGGTATTTTTCATAAGTTGTGTTTAAAGCTTTTAAGTTTATTTGAGTGGAATTCATGTTTCATATACTGAGTGTTCCTTGTAGGGAAATCTCTGAATTTATTAAGTTTAGCTAGAACACAGTTTGTGAGAAGACAGAACGATGGTCTGTAAAAAAAATAAATAATGATGAATTTGCCTTACCGGGTGTCCTTTGATGAAAACAAGATGCATTAAAGGCTTCACTAGGCATAGAAAAAACAATGAATTTGCTTAAAAGAAAATCGAAAATGATCTGTGGTCGTTCCTCCGCTCAACTTCTTACTGCCGTCGCGACGTTTCGCTCCTGAAAATTGATTTACGACAGACATATTCAAATGTAAATGCATAATAAACTCAATTTGCATTTATTAATCGCGGGTATTGTGAACATTGTAGCAATGAGCCATTCAGTAGTTTTATCCTTTCTCGTATTTTCTTTGGAATTTGCCTCGTCGATTTCCTGTCGTCTCGAAATAATGTTTCCCTGGAGATCAGAAGCGTGCACGAAATAGACTATACTTAATTTTAAACTACAAGTTCTTCAGTTTTTTAAACATTTGAGATGATGTTCCAGGTACTTCGCTTTTCAGTCAAAATAAAAGTCGACGGTATTTAGATGTTAATGAAATATTTTTCGTTTACGTTAAACTTGTCTGAACGGAAGGAATTACACCTCTTCGACTGTCATTAGCAAATTTTACTAATCATGAATTTGTCAGATAATGTTGTTTCTCTGCACTTCGATGAGAAGATGCTGCTGTTCTAAGTGAGCTTTATAAGTTGTAATGCAGCAGTGAGCCAGATTGATCAACCTCTAACTTGGTTAGAAGTTCGGAGAATTTTTCGTTTATCCATCATCTGGACCAGTTCCCATTGAACTTAATTCTAGGGTTCAAGGCGTACTATAGCAGTCTTTTTAGTACAGCTATATGCATCAGTATACAAGTCAGAAAGCTACGGATGAGAGCATTACATAAGATGGCGAGAAGATTAACCAGGTATAGGAAATGTTTGTGCAGCCGAGTTCTTCTCTATCGCTGAAGTTGTAGCAACAACAGTAAACTGAACTACTCATTTCCGAAATGACCAAAAACCCTGACAGATTTAGTCTCAGTGACGTTAGTCCAAGTCTTTTGTGCCATTTCAATTGGTTATCAAAATAACGCAGCCTTTCAAGAGTTTTCGGTTATGCCTTTTGATTTTCATTATGTTTCTCTTTAGGTCACTAGATTTGCAAACATAAAGGCAATTTTCCTTTTGAATAACCCTGACAATGTTGCTTATATTTCGCTGCTACTTTTAAAGGACCGAATAGCTTGATACCAATCTTTGATTACATGTATGACTAAGAAAGTATCAAATATGAACATTGTAAGTCTTACGAGATATCAAAACCTTGATTTTACTTCATTCAGTTCCACTAAGAAACTGCTCTGGAATTGCATTAACTCTAATAACGGATTAAATCGCCGGTCGATTCAGTGTTTGTTCCAGGTGAAAAGATTGTAGCTGAATCTAAGTATTTACTTGAATAACCTCACTGTTCGGATTGTTTTAACATGTTCACAGCCTGCGAGTCACGTTTTAATGCTAGATTTTCTTGCTTACTAAGGCAGCGTCCACCCTACGCTGGAGAAATTTGAAAACGCAGCTTTGTTTCTACGGTTAGGCCTACCGTCCACTCTATTCCGTACGAAAAAGCTCTTCAAACCGGAGGAATTTGTAAACGCCCGGCCGGCTTTTCGTTTTTGTGTGGACGGAAAAGATTTTGCAAACGGAGCTTTCCGAAAACGATGACGTCACGATAATCATGTGATTTCCCTGACCGAGTTTTCCTCAAACACAAATCCAAAATGGCCGGCGACTGGTGCCTTTTAAAATATCTTCGGCTTAGTGTAGACGGAAAACATTTGATGCAGTAGTTTTACAGATGGTGTGCATGTTATGTTTTCTCAATCTCGAACAGTTTTTCTTTTACTGAAGTGATACCGAGCATAAGATAACTGGCCAACAGTACAGCGTTATATAAATCCGTGTTTATAAAGATGTTTTTTTTTTATCTTTGTTATAACACCTGACAAATCCAAAATGGCCGGCGACTGGTGCCTTTTAAAATATCTTCAGCTTAGTGTAGACGGAAAACATTTGATGCAGTAGTTTTACAGATGGTGTGCATGTTATGTTTTCTGAATCTCTAACAGTTTTTCTTTTACTGAAGTGATACCGAGCATAAGATAACTGGCCAACAGTACAGCGTTATATAAATCCGTGTTTATAAAGATGTTTTTTTTATCTTTCTTATAACACCTGACAGCGCAGTGAACACGATTCATCCGGCCATTAATATATTTATTTCAAACACCTTTTGACCTAGATTATGCTACGATTGCATCGTCAGAGCGAAATTTCTTGATACGAAAGATATGTTACCGAAATATTCTTGGCATTAAAAAGTTTGAATAATTTTTACGCCACGACTTGAAAAGCGTTAGAACGCGGTGAAAAATCTGCTACCAGAGTTGTCCCTAACCTCAGGACGAACAAAGATCCTGGGATCTAGAGCAGATTTTCATTTTTAAAACCAATTTAACTGGGCTCCTAATGTTGATTCATGAGCTTAGCACACCTATTAATTTAACAAATAGAAAACAGTTTCCGTGGTTTTACCGACTTTTAGAAACACCCCGTAAGAAAGCGTGCGCTAAAAGCTGTTCCTCTATTGAACACGTGATTAGTTTCAGGTTGTGAGGAAAAAGCTATTTAGACTGTATTTTAGCTGAACCAGAGGAAGGCTGTCAGAGACGCTAAAAGCCGCTGTTACAACGATTTTGTTATTAAAAACATACCAAAAGTGGTTTTTATATTGCCACTTACCATGTAGTTTTAAGATCTTTATAAATGTGTTTGCTTTTCTGTATTTTCGAGTGCATGTTGTCATGTTGCGTGATCAAATGAGAGTTGCGAGATTCTCATGCGGATTTTTCACAGCGATGGCAGGAAATATGGCAGGCAATAAGAACCAGGGCGCTTAGATGTAGTTTTATGCTCTGAACGAATGGAAAAGGTAAGTTTTACAGGGTCGAAAACAAGACTTCAATTTCGCGCTGTGAATGAATATCTGCTTGCGCTGACTTAAGAATATAGCTTATGTAAGAAAACTCTCTGCTCTGGTATCGAGTTAATTTGTGAGTTAAAAAACAATGCTTTATCGTAACCAAAGCCTGTTTTTGCCAGTTTCTTAATATTGTTTCTGCTTGTTTGGCGAGTTTGCAAAAGTTTTTGAAAGGAAAGTCTGACGCGTACAAGTAGCTCATTTGCATAGTGCAGCGCGTGTACTTTCAAGTCCGAGTCGGTGTTCTCAATTGTCAACAAAGAAGATTTTTTCTGTTGTCTTTTGTGCTGAGATGCTGCAAGAATTTTCATCAACGCGAAAAGGCTACTAACATCATGTGTGTTTCTTCAACATAATGAAATTTTACACTGCGAAAATAAAACTCAAGAGTTTTGATAACTCAGCCAACAAAATCGAAATCGTTATTCGAGTTGATTAAAGAAAGAGTCATCGTAACTTTGCTAATTGCTTCTGCTGTATTCGCATATTTTCAGCTAACACAAACAAAACTGAGCAGTATCTACAGACGTAAACTTATTGGGCCTTGATGAAGCATCAAGCGTTCCTCACAATTCAGGCGAAGCTAAATCTTGCAATTTTTTTTTGCTTTTCGGTCGCGATAGAGTAGCGAAATCCCCGCAAGAGTTTGGCAAGAGGAGGGAAACTTTGAGGTCCTGAAATGCTGCTATATCCAAATATATCCAGCTAGTTTTGTGCTGTCCTATGGAAAAGCTGTTATTCTTCAACATATGTGAAATTTAGAGTGGAATAATATGGAGCTCTTGTAAAAGGAACAGCGGAACACAATTTGGTTAGTAATAAAAGGCGGGACATACCTAAATTCGGCAATGTCTTACTTCACTCAAACTGGAGCAGCTTACGACGAAAATACTTAAGCAAACTTCCATCAAACATAAACGAACTGAGTTGTGGGCCAAAAGCATCAAAATTTCGGGAATTTCGGACGCCATTTCGCTTGCGCTACATCCGCAAAAATCCTCGCAGCATGTACGCGCGTGGGCCTCTTAGAAAACACTCTGAGCTAAAGGAAATTAGAAATATACAAAAAACTGTTGCATTGCTTTTTAATCCGGCGCAGTATTCTGAAATATTACATAAAGTATTCCTCTCATTGTAAAGAGGATCTTGGCTGAAAAGCTGAAATATAAACGATTAGAGGCACTTTTGTCTCTAGATTCAAACGACGCTGTGTTTTAAAAACGTCCAACGGCGCATTAACGTCACAATTTCCCATCACGCTTTGCAAAAATAAACATGGCGGCCCGCTGGAAATTTGAAATCCTAAAATAGCTGAAAGTAAACACAGCATTCAAACCAGGCAAAGAATTATCGATTTCAAATCGCTGAAACAATAAACACAAACTTTTGATTTGGAACAAAACTGGTTTTTTTAGCCAACATTCCCTTTATGGAAATCGGTTAACTTCTTCCTTTGTCTTGCCATGGAATCATTGTTACCAGAAGTTATAATATTTCTGGTGTACTCGAACCTTTAAGGAATGAGCTCTACCTTTTATACTTTGCCCACTTCTCTCAAGTTGTATCTCGCAGTACAGGATAAGGTTCTTCTGGTAGAACCATTTTTTCCCCTTTCTCTGTCCCCCGTGGCCACTTAGTTACTGTGTTGTGACCACCAATGGCATGGTCGTCTTGTAAATATTGAAGCAGAAAACCTCTTGCTCAACTCTCTTCCAGCCATGGCATGTTAAGGCACTTTTTCTCTATGAAATGGAGAACATATCCCTGACTCTTGGAGCTTGTAAGAATATCACAGCAGCGGAGACACATCCAACAAGCACTGAAGTAATAATAATGACCCTGTCCAAGACTTGAGAAGCGGCTCTCCATTCATCTTGCCATTCAATCACTTGTTGCCAAGATGGCTCATTAATCTCAGACGTTGTTTCCTTTTTATAAGTGTTCTCTTTTCGCTTTGTTGACATATTTCTTAAAGTTATACCATTACAATTCTTTCCAGCGTTGTTAATATTCCGACTCGAGTTTTCTTCTTCGTCTACACTTATACTGTCTTTTCTCAAGTTAACGGACGTTATCGACACGTTTTGATTTTGTTCGAAAACGTCTCCCACCCAATCCCGACTCAGTCCTAAATCAGCGTGACTAAAGGGCTCAAACGTTGGATTATGAATAACGTCTTGCGCATGTCCATTCTCCGTTGGCCGCTGACTCTCTCTTGTGGAAAGGCGCCTCCTTCTGATCTTTACTCTAACAAGTGGCGCCAATGTTTTGAGAAGAACGGTTTTGATCCAGCCCGGCATCTTTGTTTTGCTGTAGTAGAAGTTCAAGACGATGCAGGTTGCTGCTATCGCTAAACCAATTTCAAAGATTGCTACGGTGTAGTAAGTGCCTAAAAATAGAGTTTAGAGAACGTTAGCGGGACAGAGCGACACTGGAATTCATCTACAAGATTGTATTTCGTAGATATCGTTATTTTGGGGAAGTAGACGCTCAAGATCAATATGGGTAATCAAATGGCGACGAGCGAAATTGGGAAATAATTTCATGCGCGTTTTGACAAAATTCCAATAATTTTCTGAGCCTTCAGGCAAGGAAAATTATCAGAATTTTGACAAAACGCAAGTGAAATCATTTCTTAATTTTACGACGATACCATTTGATTACTTTTTAATATCATGGGTGACAAAACAAGGCTTATAATCGAGGGTTTTCGACTTGTTTATTTTATCGAGAAATTTTGGTGCAAACTTTGCCATGTCAATTTTGTAATTTCATCAGTTAACTAACATGTTTCAAATGTTAACTTCAAATGTTAATTAACACTGAAATCTCGCGCGAAAATTAAGGAATAATTTGTTGTCCATGATGTTATTAAAGTACTCTTAATGTACTCACCAATCAGAAAGAAAGTATCAGAACTAGGCGGTAGCTTCTCTGAGGTCAACTCCTGGAAGATTGTCATAGCCATAAGAATGGTGATACACAGGGAAACTCTCTCGCCGCACTCTGGCGGCAGAACAAATGTAAAAAACACCATGCAGGCGATAAGCGCACACGGAAACACCAGGTTAATGATGTAATATCTTGAGTAGCGTTGCAGATTTAGGGTCAGCAACACTTCAGAGTATGGATTTGGACAGCAAGTGTACTTTACCTAAATAGAAACAAAGGGTTGCGTTAAAATGAAAGGCATCCGGTAACGTGTTTTCATCAATATCTGATTGATTGTTTTTAAACATATATGTCAAGTTAAAACAGTTTAAGATTGTTCATTCCAAGGAGTGGGCAATCGCTATCTCCAAAAAACGTCCTTTTTCACCTTTCGTTTGCCGTTGCCAAATGGCTTGTTTACAATCTGTTTCATTATTCAGATCGAGATGTTCACCAGTTTTGTTGATTATTGTGTTAGAAAGCTACGAGTTCCACCAGATTTACTCTTAATACAATTCATTCGGCGTAGGTTTTCTCGCAGACTGACCATGAGAAATTTACGATCTTCATAAACTATGATGTATAGTCAAAATTTGGTCGGTGAGTCTCTTTAAAGTAATGAAATTGGGTAGCATGTTCCTTGGTTGGAATATGAACATAGTCAAGCCAGAAACGGGAGAATCCTGTGGAATTTCGGGAGAATAGGACATGTTTTCGTTTCAATAATTGATACATAATTGATCCATGACAGGGTTAAAACAGAAAATTCCCAGGAAACGGAGCAGGGGAGAGAGGAACATGTTCTCTGGATCCCTTTAAAAATTTTGCATTTTTTATTGTTGCACACTGAAAATTTCAATTGTTCTTTAAAATTTTCTACGCCAAGAGTAGAGATGTTCCTTGAACCCTCGAAATAATCCAATACTGACACCTTGCACTAAATTACCATGTTGGCATAAGCTTCAGGGAGGCCCTTCTTACGGAGTCAGACATACCTCGTTTCTTACTGAAACAACGCCAATCAAGTCCCACTCGTTGGAGGGCTGGTATATCCCATTTAATATACCAGTCTCTGGATAGTTCACATACACGTCAAGCATACTGACGTCATACGCCCAGGAGGCGAACTTCATGTAGCAATGCTGCTCATCAAAAGGAAAATACTTGATGTCAATTTTACAGATGCTCTGAAACATGGCAGGCGCCATCCAAGAGTTATTGCCATCGTAGGATACTGAGATTTTGGTTTTGTACTTCTCCAACGCTCCAGCAGCGTCCATGTCTTTGTCAGCACTGGAAAGCACACTAAAATTAATATGAATCACTAAATAATAGTAATGAAGAGAGAATTATAACATAGCTAGCTGATTATAACCGCGCCATCAAACTCAGTATAAATAATCAATGTATACGTAGTGTAGTTCAATGATGCACAGTCATTTCTTGAACAAAGTGAACTTCGCTTTGCCAGAAAAATGTTCTTTCCATTGGCAATGTTCTAAAACAATTAATTCATGCTCTAAGCTAAGCATCTTCGAGTTATGAAAAACTTGGGAAGTTTGGACCAGAGCATTCAAAGATTGGTCTTAGCATCGTCTTGAGCAACTCTTATTATTCTTTCGTGCTCTCCAAACTTCCCGCGTGGATCATAACTGAATGATGCACGCTAAACCATGAATAAAATGTTAAGATAAGGTAACATAAAGGTTATGTTACCTTTGTTAAGGATAACTACACTGAAATATCTAGAAACATGCATGACAGGTCTGTTACAGTAAGGAGGTATGTCGCTGTAACGCATATTTTGAAGTCACAGTTTCCGTTGTGCAAAATTAGGTTCATATCTGATGAAGCCTCCACATGATAGCTTTTAGATGAAGAAAAAATCAAAAAATCAAAAAAACAAGAAAGGAACGAGGATCGCTTAGACTGGGGGAAATTCAGAAGAATTTACGAATTACGAACTTGAAGACGCTTGAGGCCTTCCTCTTATGGTCCAAACAACAGCAAAATTGTATGAATGGTCTGGCCCGTGTACAACGGCTGTGAATAAACTATCCTTCACAAGGTTATTTGGAGTTTAGCGGATCTCAGCGAGTTTTCGTCAAGTTACCAGCATATAGGATGTAAAAGTGTGAGAAAATAAACGTTTCTTTAATAAAGGGAAAGGCAAAAAGCAAAACCATCCTCTCCAGAAAAAAAATTAAACACGCTAAAATAAATAGGGACTGTTTTGCATTGTTATAAACATCACTTACTTGTTATACAAAAGAACATCCGGGACCCAGACTTTAGATGGTTCAACGTAAACAGTTGTTAATCCATCATAGTCCTTTGGATTCCATGTAAGATCTGGATTGTTCCAGTCCTAAACAAAATTAAAGATTTGGACGCTGTCATTACACATTTAGCCTGAGCACGTTTTAAGAGCCATAGGCGTACGGACAGATCTAGACAATTGCAAAATTTGCAGTTAAAATATAAATTTATTTTTTACCAGGCGTTGCTGCCAGTGTCGTCGTTGCTTTAAGCTTCCCTTATGCCTTTATCTAAGGTAACTCTTTGTTATGGTAGAATTACCTATCCACTGCTTTTTTGTGTAAAAAAAATGTTATTAATTTTTTTAATGTAAAAACTGTCTTGGTTTCAAAACCACCCCTCTAGTCTTCTTCTCCTTGAAAAGAAAGTAGCCCTCCGTTCCATTCCTGAGGGCTTTATAGAGCACAAGTTTAAACAGCTGTAAAGTTCTGTACTTGTATAGCGAGTACTTGTAGGGTTGTTGAGGACATAGTACCATTTATACTGCGACGTATGGAAGGAGAGTAGTGCGCATGACTGACCTGTTTCATCCACCACTGAGCTTGCAATGCATTGTTCTTTTCATCCTATGCAGTAAAGAATAAAACAAACGAATCAAGGATAAAAAATTATTGGTCCCAGCTGCTCAAAGGGTGAATAGAGGTTATCACGGGGTAAATCAACGCTTACCGGCTTGATAAGTGTCAACAAAGTTAACAAAACTGGTGCCCATTCCAAGTTAGCTAGAGATAATATCTAATCCATTCCATTCTGGTCTTGTATTCACCTCCAAACTTAAGTCATCTTTCTTGGTATAAGGATATTTTACTTCTCTATAATTAGCGTGCTTGTGTGTGTTTTGCATTTTATTCCAGATTATGATCATTTTGTGTGCCGATGACAGCAGTTTTATTCTTTTGTTAAGTCTTAGGTATCTTTTAGGTAAATCCTTTACATAAACCTTATTGGTTTCCCTAGGCTTCCTTACCTTATACACTTAATTCCAAAATGGCGGCCGGTTTATTATTCTTTTGTGTGCATGTTAATTAGCCCTCTTTGCCTGATTTTCACTTCAAAATTCTTTTGTATTTTGTCCATGTTGACGAGGCAAAGAGGGCTAATTACCATGTAAACAAAAGAATAATAAACTGGCTGCCATTTTGGAATAAGGTGTGTACATTGACATTTTGTAAATTTATGAATTTACAACTGTTGTTGAGCTTATTTATAAACGTTAGTGTTCATTAAGATTAGAAAACGGCTGAAAAATAGTGACAGGGTATTTTCGAAGAATACGTCATCTGTTAGTGACTTGCTCAAAGAAGATTCTCTGCGGCTACACTTACAATGTTAACAATCCTGACAACTTTGGCTCCTACCCATACTTTCACACTTCTTCCTCCCCCCGGATGACCATCTCTGTCGTATCTTGCAAATAAATGCTCCAGCAGGCGCTGATGAGGATTCTGGGTAAAGTTCCTTGTCGCTGTTCATAAAACAATACAACAAGAAACAAGGAGTAATATTAATAATGAATCACCTATTGATCTGATGACAGTCCCAATCAGGGCCGTAGCTAATAACGGGCAAACGGAGGCACTTGCCTCAGTCATTTTTCTTTTCTTTTGTTGTTGTTGTTGTTGTTGTTGTCTCTAGTTATCATAAACACCCTGAATACTTGGGAAGAGAATTTAACCATGGACATTGCCTCAGGCATAATTTTTTCATGCACATTACCTCAATCATAATATTTTCTCTAGCTACGGCCCTGCCAATACTTCACTGATAACCACGTGTGACCTGAGATGATTAATCTGCTTTCCAGTTTTTCTTTCTCTTTAATTGATCGGAGCAGCAACCTTCTGCTTACATAGAACGGTCTCTTAAACTAGGTATCACATGCAATGCCTTTTTTCTATCCACCTTATTGAACACGAACAAGAACCTGCCATAAATGCAGGAATGAATCATAAGAAACAAACAGTTTTTTAACACAGTTTGAAAGAGAAAAACATTAGTTCGTATAGTGTGATCGTCCGGGTGAGTGTAGTTCT